AAAAAAAAAAGCCGGAAGTGGCGCTGTGGCTCAAGTGGTAGAGCGCCAGCCTTGAGCTGAAGAGCTGAGGGACAGTGCCCAGGCCCAGAGTTCAAGCCCCACGACCGGACCCAAAAAAAATAAAAAATAAATAAAAATGTTCAGGTGTCAGTAGCTTACACTTGTAATCCTAGCTACTCAGGAGGCTGAGGTCTGAAGGGTTCAAAACCAGCCCAGGCAGCAAACTGTGAGACTTGTATCTCCATATAAGGGGCTGGGAAGGTGGCTCAATGGTAGAGTGCTTGCCTTGCATGCTTGAGGCCCTGGGTTCGAATTCCTCAGCACCACGTAAGCAGAAAAAGCTGGAAGTGGCGCTATGGCTCCCGTGGTAGAGTGTTAGTCTTGAGCTGAAGAGCTGAGGGACAGCGCTCAAGCTCAGAGTTCAGGCCCCATGTCCGACCAAAAAAAAAAAAAAAAGCCTCAAGTGGAGCTGTGGTTCAAGTGTTAGAGCACTACCGTGAGCAAAAAAGCTAAGGGACATAGAGCATCCAGGCCTGGAGTTCAAGCCCCCCCACCACACACATATCAAGAAAAATCATTATTTTGCATAGAAGTACAAAGATATACACATGTGCCTTTATAGACACTCCTCAGCTTAAAACTATGCTCTGGGAGGTGTAGTAGTACAAATATCCCTGGACATGCCCTCTTGTTGTTGTTGGCTGTGGTACCTGGGCCTCACTGCTTACTCAGCCTTACCGCTTGGACTCTGCCTCCAGAGTGACTTCTTACAGGTTATTTTGGAGATAGGTTCTAGGGAGCGTTTCTGCCCAGTGGCTTTGTACCACAGTCTTCCAGATGGCAGCCTCCTAAGCTCTAGGATGACAAGCATGAGCCCCTGGCATCTGGCTGATATTCTTATAGCTACTGGAAATACACTGAAGAGAGATGTGTTTTAGCCACCATTCCAGCTGTGGTTCCTAACCCTGTGGTTTGTGTAAGGTGGTCCTTGCCTATGAGTCTGTGACTTTGGAGAGAGACTGTTTCTGGGCTGTCCAGAAACCTTTTTCCTAAGACTGAGCATTCCAACTAGCTGTGGTACAAAAATTACTTTCCTTAGGCACTTGACATCAATAGTTACTGGCCACTAGTGCTGATAGTAGATTATTGATACTCATTTGTGTGTGAAGCTGTTACTGTAAAGCTGTTGTTACAAACTGAAAGTTTGTCCCATCAAAGGTCCTATGTAAATGGAAACCTCCTTCCCCAATAGTCTCTGGGAGGTAAAAGGCCTGAGGTGCCCTGCAGACCACATGGCCCCCATGTGATGTGTGAGATTGCTGCCCTTAACCAGAGAGCAGAGAGCTTCCTCCTCTCTCCCTTAATTGTGGGTCTCTAAAAGTGAGATATCCACACAGTTTAAACCTCCATAGGTCTAATGTTCTGTTACAGTGGTAACTGTCACTGATTTCTAGCAATCACCTGATAATACCAAGGCTCTCCCAGCGGCGCTCCTTCTCCAGTGAGGGGGAGCCCAGTGGAGTCCCTGCAAAGTTCTCTATCAAACCCTTGATATTTGTTCTGCTAGCTGTGTTTGTCACTGGGGAAAGCTTGGAAAGATGGTTACTGTATTATTCTCTTGTAAATTGCACTTCCAAAGACGAAAGTTGCTCTTCTCTGAAAAATGAATATCACATCTCATTTACTAAGTAAAAATCGCTTTGTTGTGGAGAATTAACATTTTTGTGAAATTAGTTGAGCATTTGTGAAATTAGTGTAGCATTTTTTACAATCTGCTCTTGGATTTATTTCTCTTGTTTCTAAATTGTATTTAACAACAAAAAAAATCTGTTTTATTTGGCAGCCGTGGGGCCAATTTTATAACTCAGATTTTGCTGAGACCAGGAGCATCTGATTTAACTGGCAGCTTCAGGTACAGTGAAAGTTTCTACAGTTTGTAACTTCTTATCTGATTCTTGAATTATAATGGCTGTTGTAAAATACTTTTTGCGGGCTGGGAAGGTGGCTCAGTGGCAGAGAGCTTGCCTTGCATGCCTGAGGCCCTGGGTTTGATTCCTCAGCACCACATAAGCAAAACAAAAGAGCCGGAAGTGGCGCTGTGGCTCAAGTGGTAGAGCGCTAGTCTTGAGCTGAAGAGCTGAGGGACAGTGCCCAGGCCCAGAGTTCAGGCCCCACAATCAGACCAAAAAAAAAAAAAACCAAGAAATACTTTTCGCTGGGCCTTGGTGGCTCATCCTGTAATCATAGCTACTCAGGAGGTTGAGAACTAAGTATCACAGTTTGAGCCGAGGCTAAAAAGTTGGTGAGATTTTTTTTATTCAGGTAGGTCATGGGGCTTGAACTCTGGGCTTAGTTGCTGTCTTTGAGCTCTTAAGCTCAAGGCTAGCACTCTACCACTTAAGCCACAGCTCCACTTCCGGTTTTCTGCGTGGTTTACTGGAGATAAGAGTCTCACAGACTTTCCTGCCCGGCTGGCTTTGAACCACAATCCTCAGACCTCAGCCTCCTGAGTAGCTAGGCTTATAGGCATGAGCCACCAGTGCCCAGCTAATGACTCTTATCTCCAATTAACCTCCAGAAAACTGGAAGTGGAGCTATGGCTCGAAGTGCTAGAGCACTAGCCTTGAGCAAAAAAAAACTCAGGGACAGGGCCAAGGCCAGGAGTTCAAGCCCCAAGACCAAAAAAAAAAAAAAAACTTTTCAGCTATACGTGGTGGCTTACGCCTGTAATCCTAGCTATTCAGGAGGCTGAGATCTGAGGATCATAGTTCAAAGCCAGTAAAGTTTGTGAGGCTCTTATCTCCAATTAATCACCAAGAAAACTGGAAGCTCAGTTCGTGGCTCAAGTGGTAGAGCACTGGCTTTGAGCTGAAGAGCTGAGGGACAGCGCCCAGGCCCAGAGTTCAAGTCCCATGACCGACCCACAAAAAAAAAAAACAAAAAAAAAAAAGCTTCATCCCACCCTTCTTTTGTTCTAGAATGCTAGAAAAGGTGGACTGAAATTCCCTATTAGATGGTAGTGCATCCTAATATCTTCTCAAAGGAATATTGTACTTTTTCTCCAAAGTTTAAATGCAGGACCTAGTTTATAGAGTATTGTTCACTTGAGCACTAGGACCCTCCGCTCATCTGGAACAGCAGAAGAAGAGTATATAGCAACTTCCTGCAGCGTATTATATAAATACTTAGGGCATTGTCTGCAGAAAAGTTGAAAATTTTTTCCTATTTTCTTTATATATGTGAATGTGCTGTGTGTTCTGAACAACCACAAGCCTTACAGGAAGCCTGGAGAAAAGCCTGGGTTCCAGCTCACACCCTTAGGGTCCTAACTTCAAAGAGAACTGCCTCCTTAAGTAAGAATTGCTGCCTCCTTACCCACTGATTTAAATAAATAAAAGAACATCCCAGCTCCTCTGTCTTACTTAAAGGTGATTCTGATCTCTGGGGACCTGCAGATGCCTTAGGCTGTGCCTGTCTCTGTACAAGTCTTCATGGAAACCAACTCCACTATTACTCCACCATTACTACTGACCCCCTCTGGCCACCAAGTATACATTATTGCTTCATCATCCACTGTCAGTTCTGCTGTTCCAGGTTTGAAAGAGTTTCTCCCTGTTCAAGTTTACATGGAAATGCTGAGGATATTTATACACAGTAAAAGTAATGTAGCCAATGATTTGGTTATGTTGAAGTAAGTCCTAATGGTATGACAGTCCTCTTGGAGATGCTGAGACTCCCTCCTTGTTTGAGACAAATGTGGCATGGTCGTCACCTGTAAGAATTTTTCTCTAGGCCAATGGTTAGAGAAGGTTTTAGACTTGCCAGGTACCGGTGGCTCACGCCTGTAATCCTAGCTACTCAGGAGGCTGACATCTGAGGATCCAGGTTCAAAGCCAGCCTGGGCAGGAAAGTCCATGAGACTCATATCTCCAATAATAAGCAGAAAAAACTGGAAGTGGTGCTGTAGTTCAAGTGGTAGAGCACTCACCTTGAGCTGAAGAGCTGAGGGACAGTGCCCAGGCCCAGAGTTCAGGCACCATGGATGGGAAAAAAAAAAAAAAAAAAAAGCCCAGAGACAGTGCTTAGGTCTTGAGTTCAAGCCCCAGGATGGCAAAGGGGAATAGGGGGAAAGGTGGGGAGACAACAGACAGACAGACACAAACCAAGAAGACCTAATCTTAATGCAAACATTGTGCCAAATGTGAAAATACTGAATCATTTCCAGTAAGTTCATAGATGGGTAAGCCAGCTGTTGTTAAGCAGAGAAATTCAACTAGTGCAGTAAGATAAGGATTTTAAGAGATACTGGAAAAGTATATAAATTTTTTTTTCCTTCCTAGGTGGTAACAGTTAAATTCCTAGGAATCCCAAGAGAAACATTGCTAATGAGCATTTGAAACTGTTGTGAGTGTAAGCTAACTAATATGAAGACACTGAGATCCTGTCACCTTCCTTCAAGGAGCTCTCCTACTTGGGAAAACCCAAACCCCTTTGTCCCTCAAACCTTCTGCAACTGTCCCCTGGCTCCCTGTGTGGCCTGGAATTGGGACCCTGCCCTTTGCTTTCCCAGCCTCCAGTGTGTGCCTGCATACATTGACTCTCAGTTCTCACAGGGCTTAGAGATCTTTGCCTGAAACACTCCTGCCCTGCTCCTTGATTGAGGCTAACTGCTGCTCATCCGTTGGCCTCTGCTTCAGGACACCTTCACTGCTCTGTATCTCCAATATTCAGGTGCTCCTGTGGCCCATAAAGGACCACATCAAAAGAGATACAAGCTAAGTGGATAGAAGAAATTCGAGTGGCTAGCAAACATAATTTCCTGTGTACAACCAAGGAATACAAATTAAGACAATTATTACTTAGTAGTTGGTCAAAAATAAGACATTTAGAGCAGTAATACCCAGTATTGGAAAAGGTATTAAGAAGGACACACCCAGAGCTGAAGGGTTAAGGTGTAGAACCATTTTGGAAAAGTTTCTAGCAGTATGTTAAAGTTACTCAGCTTTGTTTTGACCATTCCACTGTATTCCATTTGGGAGAATCTGAGAACTATGGTGAATTTTTTTATTTTTTATTTTTTGCCAGTCCTGGAGCTGAACTCAAAGTCTGGCCTTCTTTTGCTCACTCTACCACTTGAGCAACAGCATCATTTCTAGCCTTTTCTATTTATGTGGTGCTGAGGAATCAAACCCAGGGCTTTATGCATGGTAGGCAAGCACTCTACCACTAAGCCACATTCCCAGACCTATGGTGATATTTTTAAGAATGTTTGTTGCATTATTTGTTATGTTGGAAGGAAGTGAGTTTACCATGAAAACAACCACAGGTCTATATTTAGTCTAAACTTTTTTGCAGATATTAAAACAATTGGAAGCCGGGTGCCAGTGGCTCACACCTGTCATCCTAGCTACTGTGATCTGAGGATCACAGTTCAAAGCCAGCCTGGGCAGGAAAGTCCATGAGACTCTTATCTCCAATAAACCACTAGAAAACTGGAAGTGGCACTGTGGCTCAAGGGGTAGAGCACTCGCTGTGAGCTGAAGAGCTCCAGGACAGCGCCCAAGCCCAGAGTTCAAGCCCTACGACCTACCAAAAAAAAAAAAAATTAGAACTGGAGGTGTGGCTCAAACAGTAGTATTCCTACCTAGCAAATGAAAGTTCCTGAGTTCAAATCCCAGTATCACCACTAAAAAAAGAATTTGGTACCAGTGGCTTACACCTATAATCCCAGATACACAGGAGGCTGATCTTCACAGTTTGAAGCCAGCCAGGGCAGGAAAGTCCATGAGACTCTGATCTCCAATTAACCACCAGAAAACCAGAAGTAGCGCTGTAGCTCAAGTGGTAGAGCTCAGGGACGGCACCCAGCCCCAGAGTTCAAGCCCCATGATCAAAAAAAAAAGAGAGAGAGAGAAAGAAAAAACAGTTTTGAAAGCCTTGCTTTAAAACTTAAGTAAGTTCTGTTTCCTTGGCATTATGTCTTTTCTCAGTTTCCTCATGGTTCTGTTTGTGTAGATTATGAAGATGCCTGTTAACTCAAAAGCTTTTTCTAGTTGACAATTGTTTTTTCCCTACAGAAAGCAAAAAGAAGGTGATTTTGATATTGTCTCTGGAACTCGATACAGAGGAGATGGAGGTGTATATGGCTGGGATTTGAAAAGAAAAATAATCAGGTACATAGACATGTGCTGTGATTTTGTTACTGTCGTGGGGATTTGGATTCAACAACCATATCACTTTTGTAGGATTGTAGGATTGGGTTGTAACTGTAGGTGAAAATTTATAGGGTGTGTGTGTAAAATATTTGCCCCAAATATTTTATTTTGGATGTTCGATTGGGTTGTAACTGTAGGTGAAAATTTATAGGGTGTGTGTGTGTGTGTGTGTGTGTGTGTGTGTGTGTGTGTGTGTAAAATATTTGCCCCAAATATTTTATTTTGGATGTTTGTCAACACAGATCTTTGAGCCTTTGGTCCAACTTACCTGGTTCTGCCTATATTATTCTACTAGACGTTCAACTTTTTGCAGCAAACCATTCATCTATAATTTTGGACAAAATAAGTAAGATTTTCACCCATATGTTAATATTTTTATCAAATGACACTACGATTTCAGCTTATATTGAGAAGCATAGAGTAGAGGGGAATTGGAGTCAAGGCAGGCCTGAATTAAAGTTTTGTCATTTAATGAACTGTTATTTTGTATATTTTACCATTCTAAAGTTTACTTTCCTAATCTCAAATTGGAAGTGAAACCTGCTGCTCTGGTGTTTTGGTACTGCCTAACAAACCGTCCCAGGCTGAGGGACACAACAGCTTATTGCAACTCTGTGGATTTGCTAGTGGCATTTTCACCAGCTCACGTGGGCCTCATCACACAGCCTCCAGAGCCTGAGGGTCAGCTGAGTGGGCAGGTCCCTGGTCGCCTCTGCTTGTGTTCCTGTCACCTGGGGCCTTTTTCAGAAGGCCAGGCCAGCTTCCTGCGGGGCATCCTAGTTA